TTGTCCAAAGTTTAGTCTAAAAGTTTATAACGCTTCATTTATGAAATCTTTTATAGTCTCGACTAAACTCTTGCCTATAGTCTTGTCAACGAACTCTTCGAGTCGACTAAAGTCTCGTCTAAAGTATCATTTATAAACTCGTCTAAGGTCTATTCTGTAAAGTCTTCTATAGTTTGGTCTTTGAAGTATAGTCTTATCTATAAACTCGTCTAATGACTCTTCTATTGTTTCATCTATGAAATCATCAAAAGTTTCTTCTAAAGACAAATGTATGAACTAGTCTAAAGTCTCTTCTATAGAGTCGTCCATGAACTTGTCAAAAATCTAGTCTAAAGTCTCTATGAAATCATCGACAGTATCATCTGCTTAGTCTCGTCTATATTTTAGTTTATAAACACGTCGAAAGTTTCGTCTAAAGTATCATCTATAAACTCGTCTAAGGTCTTTTCTCTAATGTCTTCTATATTTTCGTCTTTGAACAAGAGTCTTATCTAACTCGTCTAATGACTCTTCTATAGTTTCATATATGAAATCATTAAAAGTTTCGTCTAAAAACATATGTATGAACTCGTCTAAAGTCTCTTCTATAAAGTCGCCTATAGTTTCGTCTATGCACTTGTCAAAAATCGAGTGTAAAGTCTCTATGAAATCATCGACTGTATCATCTGATTAGTCTCGTCTATAAACTCGTCGAAAGTCTCCGCTAAAGTATCATTTATAAACTCGTTTAAGCTCTATTCTGTAAAGTCGTCTTTAGTTTGGTTTGAACTTGTCTAATGTCACGTCTATGAAATTATCTAGAGTCTTATCTATAAACTCGTCTAATGACTCTTCTATAGTTTCATATATGAAATCCTCAAGAGTTTCGTCTAAAAACATATGTATGAACTCGTCTAAAGTCTCTTCTATAAAGTCGCCTATAGTTTCGTCTATGAACTTGTCAAAAAACTAGTCTAAAGTCTCTATGAAATCATCGACAGGATCATCTGTAGCGTCTCGTCTATATTTTAGTTTCTAAATTCGTCGAAAGTCTCGTTTAAAGTATCATCTATAAACTCGTCTAAGGTCTATTCTGTAAAGTCTTCAATAGTTTGGTCTTTGAACTAGATTCTTATCTATAAACTCGTCTAATGACTGTTCTATTATTTCTTATATGAAATCATCAAGAGTTTCGTCTAAAGTCTTTTCTATAAAGTCGTCTATGAACTTGTTAAAAATCTAGTCTAAAGTCTCTATGAATCTGTAGTCTCGTCTATATTTTAGTTTATAAACTCGTCGAAAGTCTCGTTTAAAGTATCATCTCATCATAAACTCGTCTAAGGTCTATTCTGTAAAGTCTTCTATAGTTTGGTCTATAAACTAGTCTCGTCTATATTTTATTCAATAAACTCGTCGAAAGTCTCCTCGTAAGTATCATCTATAAACCAGTCTCAGCCCTAGGTTATAAACTCGTCTAAAATCTCTCCTATATACTCGTTTAACATCTGTTCCATAAAGTCGTCTATAGTTTCGTCAAAATGACTTAACTCTGCAATTTTTTCAGTTCTCCAACTTTATTGTTTTCCCCTTTATTTTCTCTTTTATAATTTTCCCAAACAATTTTCTTTGCAAACTTTTTTTCAAAATTTCTAGATTTTGTAAATAAAATGCCTAACAATATAATACTTAATACGTTTTTAATAACTTAATTACACTTGAATGAATATGTACGTGAGCCAGCCTGGCCACATGTTTAAATTTTTAATTAATTTAGTGAATAAAAAATCTTGGTTTTTAATTGAATCATTATGAAAATAGAAAAATCTTAATAAAAAACATTCAAAATTCAAAGTCAATGTTTAGAGAAAAATTATATAATCAATGTTTTAATATTAAATTTAAAATAAAATGAAAAGCATGTTAAAACATGCTCGTGTTTAATTAAAATTTATTTATTACCTTAAAACCGCTAAAAATTAAAGCATAATAGTTGAGATTTTTTGTGTTTTTTGTTGTTTTAAATAAAAACTATATTTTTTCTAATTAAAATTATTGCTGTTTTACACATTAGTTACGAGTTCTAGTGGAAAAATAACATTAATTTTAATTAACCTTAAGTTAAAAAAAAGTTGCGTGATAGCAATTGTTTAAGAAAAATTTAGTTGTTTTTTTTTTCAGACAAATAAGTGATTTTTTTCATTAATAAAGATTTCAATAAAATATAAATTCAACAATGAAATGATGTAGACAATTTATGCTAAAAAAATATTAATTAATTAATAAAATATAGAAATAAAAACACACGTGCTGCTAGTAAGGTAGACTAAAGTGGAAAACGATTAAGTTGGAACATTGATACAACTGCAGTGTTTTTATCCAGTCTATAGTCTAGTCTATAGTGTAGTCTATGGTCTAATCTATAGTCTAGTCTATAGTGTAGTCTATAGTCTAGTCTATAGTGTAGGCTATAGTTAAGTCTATAATCTAGTCTATAGTGTAGTCTATAGTCTAGTCTATAGTGTAGTCTATAGTCTAGTCTATAGTCTAGTCTATAGTGTAGTCTATAGTCTAATCTATAGTCTAGTCTATAGTGTAGTCTATAGTCTAGTCTATAGTGTAGTCTATAGTGTAGTCTATAGTGTAGTCTATAGTGTAGTCTATAGTGTAGTCTATAGTGTAGTCTATAGTGTAGTCTATAGTGTAGTCTATAGTGTAGTCTATAGTGTAGTCTATAGTCTAGTCGATAGTCTGTCTAGTCTATAGTCTAGTCGATAGTCTAGTCTATAGTCTAGTCTAGTCTAGTCTAGTCTATAGTCTAGTCTATAGTCTAGTCTATAGTGTAGTCTATAGTCTAATCTATAGTCTAGTCTATAGTGTAGTCTATAGTCTAGTCTATAGTGTAGTCTATAGTGTAGTCTATAGTGTAGTCTATAGTGTAGTCTATAGTCTAGTCTATAGTGTAGTCTATAGTGTAGTCTATAGTCTAGTCGATAGTCTAGTCTATAGTCTAGTCTATAGTCTAGTCTATAGTCTAGTCTATAGTCTAGTCTATAGTCTAGTCTATAGTCTAGTCTATAGTCTAGTCTATAGTCTAGTATATAGTCTAGTCTATAGTCTAGTCTATAGTCTAGTCTAGTCTAGTCTAGTCTATAGTCTAGTCTATAGTCTAGTCTATAGTCTATAGTCTAGTCTATAGTCTAGTCTATAGTCTAGTCTATAGTCTAGTCTATAGTCTAGTCTATAGTTTAGTCTATAGTCTAGTCTATAGTCTAGTCTATAGTCTAGTCTATAGTCTAGTCTACAGTCTAGTCTATAGTCTAGTCTATAGTCTAGTCTATAGACTAGTCTATAGTCTAGTCTATATTCTAGTCTATAGTCTAGTCTATAGTCTAGTATATAGTCTAGTCTATAGTCTAGCCTATTGTCTAGTCTATAGTCTAGTCTATAGTCTAGTCTATAGTCTAGTTTATACTCTAGTCTATAGTCTAGTTTATAGTCTAGTCTATAGTCTAGTCTATAGTCTAGTTTATACTCTAGTCTATAGTCTAGTCTATAGTCTAGTCTATAGTCTAGTCTATAGTCTAGTCTATAGTCTAGTCTATATGCTAGTCTATAGGCTTGTCTCTAGTCTGGTCTATAGCCAAGATTATAGTCTGATCTATAGCCAAGTCTGTAGTCTAATCTAGTTTTATCGAGTCTAGACTATAGTCTAGTCTATATTCTAGTCTATATTCTAGTCTATAGTCTAGTCTATAGTCTAGTCTATAGTCTAGTCTATAGTCTAGTCTATAGTCTAGTCTATAGTCTAGTCTATAGTCTAGTCTATAGTCTAGTCTATGGTCTAGTCTATAGTCTAGTCTATAGTCTAGTCTATAGTCTAGTCTATAGTCTAGTCTATAGTCTAGTCTATAGTCTAGTCTATAGTCTAGTCTATAGTCTAGTCTATAGTCTAGTCTATAGTCTAGTCTATAGTCTAGTCTATAGTCTAGTCTATAGTCTAGTCTATAGTCTAGTCTATAGTCTAGTCTATAGTCTAGTCTATAGTCTAGTCTATAGTCTAGTCTATAGTCTAGTCTATAGTCTAGTCTATAGTCTAGTCTATAGTCTAGTCTATAGTCTAGTCTATAGTCTAGTCTATAGTCTAGTCTATAGTCTATAGTCTAGTCTATAGTCTAGTTTATACTCTAGTCTATAGTCTAGTTTATACTCTAGTCTATAGTCTAGTCTATAGGCTAGTCTATAGGCTTGTCTCTAGTCTGGTCTATAGCCTAGATTATAGTCTGATCTATAGCCAAGTCTATAGTCTAATCTAGTTTTATCGAGTCTAGCCTATAGTCTAGTATATTTTCTAGTCTGTAGTCTTCTCTATAGTTCAGTCTAGTCTAGACTATAGTTTAGTCTATGGTCTCCTTAAAATAAAGTCTTTTTTCACCAAATTTTTAATTGACCATACTGTTCACTCTCAATAATAATAAAAGATGAATTCAATGTCTGTGATATATTCCCCAGATAATTTTTTGTTTGTGTATGTAAACGCAAACAAAAAGAAAAACACGTTAAATCATTTTTAATCGTTACAACAAATTGTTGTCAAACAATCACACACACATTGTATAAAATAAAAGCAGCAACCTGTTGCCCACCGAACTTCAAACAACAGTTGAATAATATCAGCAACAAAAAAATATTATATTCCTCATTATTATTCCCAATTGCACTAATAGCGAGAGCCTTACAAATAAATATATTTTTAAATATAAACGTTTAAGGATGCCTTAAATTTTGTACAGGACTAAATATGATTTGACAATGTCAACTTAAAAGTTTGATTACAATTGACAGTGTAGACGACAAACGTCTTAAATTCTAACACAAAAAAATATGTTTTGACTATAATATCTCGGTAGTCACAAGATGATATTTGCTTTTCCTTTTAAATTTATGATAATTGTTTGTCGTCTGTGGTTGTGGTTTCAATTGTAATTGTATCTTTAAATTGATTTCCTTATTTTCGTACTTACCGTTAGTTTGAGATGCTTTATGGGTATGATGAAGAGCAAGAGTCTTGTAAAAGAGAATATTGCCTTAAACTCTTGTTATGCTAGACGACGACAATATTTGTTGATGTTGTTGTAATAATGTTGAAGGAATTTCGTAGATGGCGGAGAATTCTATGAATGAAGGGATGGAAAGTGTTGACGTTTCGCACTGTGTGTGATGACGGTAAATCCTTGCAGCTGAGTTTTTCTTGTAGAGAGACCTATTGGATTTTTTTCTGGTTAAATTTTTGAGGTTTGAATTTGATTTTCCTTGCTGTTTGTTTTGCTTTGTGGTAAAATTGCAGCAGCTATTATTGTTAGATGTAGTTGCTGTTACGGTTTTAAATTTATTAGGTGAAATATTTCATCAAGAGAATTCCTAAGGGAGATTAAGTATTTTTTTTATCAAATATTAGTAAGATGAAGTTGTGGAAGTAATTGAAAAAAGTAACAAGAAAAGAAGCTTTATAAATGGATTTTGTCCACATTTAAATTAGTAATAAGAAAAGCAATTTAATAGATATTTTACAAGTGTCGGACTAAAAAAAGTCTTAAGGGTTATTAATTGGGTTTTCATATACCTTTCATTTGATATACATAAAAGACTCGTCTAAAAACTAGTCTGTAATCTAGTCTATAAACAAGTCCCTAGTCTCGTCTGTAAACTTGTCTTGAAACTTGTCTTGAAACTTGTCTGTCATCTCGCTTTTGAACTCGGTTAAATTCTTGACTATAAACACGTCTAAAAACTTATCTGTAATCGCGTCTATAAACTTGTCTATAGTCTTTTCTGTAATGTCGTCTTTAAACTCGGTTAAAGTTTCGACTATAAACTCGTCTAAAGTTTCATATATAGTCTCGTATATATTAACTCGTCTATAAATTCGTTTAAAATCCGGTCTATAAACTCTTCTATAAACAAGGTTATAGTCTGATCTATAAAATTGCCTTTAATCTTGTCTAAAAACTCGTTTCTAGACCCGTTTATAAATTAATGGGTGGAGTCGTTTATAAAACGGTAAGTAGACTCGTCTAAAGTCTAGCCACTGCCATGATGTTGGTCACTATAATAAATATTTAAACATCCCCATCTATGCGGAGTTTTGAAATAACAATTTTGAAAAGGGTTTGAAAACAATTGAAAAAACCCTTCGATTTTTCTCTTTCAATTGTCTAAAGCACTGTAATATTAACACATAAAGATAACATTATACATAATTACCATTATTTACCCATTCAAAACAAAACACACATCAAAAAGACCTTTTAAAACAAGCCCCCCCCCCCCCTCATAATGGTCAATTATTTCAATACATTTGTTCTATTTTAAAATAAACTTCAAGTGTTCGTTTAACTGTCTCTATGAATTTTAATCTTTCTCTATCTCTTGCTCCTGCTACTGCTGTGTCGTTTTGCTTAAGAGTCTTTAAATGTTTTTGACATTGACATGTTGTAAGTGTTGTGTTGTGTGTTTGGTTGTCATCAATTGGTGTACTCACTCGTTTGACCACTGGTCAATTGTTGTATGTATGTATGAATATAAAAATCTGTTGTTGTTAAATTTATAAAGAGGGTTGTTTGATTTTGACAAATATTTTCAAAACAATAAATTTGTTAAACGTTTTTTTGGGCAGAGAGGGAGTGGAAACAGTTAAAGTTAATTTTAGGTGGTTGGATTTGTGGTCAACAGTTAATAAAAGGTGTTAAAAGTTGGCTGAATAAACGTCTCAGATGGAATAGTAAAAGTGGGAGTAATTTGTACTAGAATCACTAGATCATGTTATGACTACAGTTTCCCTACTAGTTAGGCAATGACATCAATGATTTTTCTTCGAAGTTCTAGATTCTAGGGAAGCTTTATGAAGCTTTAGTTCTTTTATCAATGATTCTCTAACGAAATGTTCACCGTCGGAAATCTTTAGACGCAGATACCCTTCCTTAAGTCTTTAGAATTAAAGTTTGAAAATTGATCAGTGGATCTAGTAAGAAAACGGGGTGACTTTTTCAAAGAATTGAAGATCGGAAATGGAAGATAGTTCAAAATCAATCCAATTTTCTATTGAATCGAAATAGGAGGGAGGGATTTTCTTTAGAATTATAATTCGAATTTAAATTGTTTACAGAATTGAAATTCTTATATAGAAAAACTTGTAATAGTTCGCAAATGAAACAAGAAACAATGTTCGGAAAAGAAACAAAATTTCTATTAAATTGGTGTTCGAAACTGAATCCAAAATTCTATAAGATTAAAGTTCGAAGACGGATCAAATCTTCTAAATATATTGGAGAATTTCAGAAGAAATTTTCTATGGAAAAAGAGATCAAATAGGAAACAAAGTTTCTATAGAATTGGAATTGGATAAACGAAGACATTTTCTATAGAAACTGGGTTTGATAATCAAGCAAATTATCTAAGAAATCGAGTTCGATAAACGATGAAATTTTCTATAGAAACTGGGGTCGGAAATGAAACCAAATTTCTATTAAATTGATGTTCGAAACTGAATCAAATATTGTTTAAAGTAATTAAAATTGAAGTTCGAAGATGGATCAAATCTTCTATAAATATTGGAGAATACCACAAGAAATTTTCTATGGAAAAAGAGATCGAATAGGAAACAAAGTTTCTATAAAATCGGAATTGGATAAACGAGTTCAATAAACGAAAAAATTTTCTAAAGAAACTGAGTTGGATAAAGGAATAACTTTTCTATAAAAACAGAGTCAGATAAACGAACAACTTTTCTATAGAAACTGAGTTAGATATACAAATTTTCTATAGAAACTGAGGTCGAAAAACGAACAAGTTTTCTATAGAAACTGAGTTGGATAAACGAACAAATTTTCTATAGAAACTGAGTTGGATAAACAAATTTCCTATCAAAACGATAAACGAATAAATTTTCTATAGAAACATAGTTCGATAAACGAACAAATGTTCTATAGAAACTGAGGTCGATAAACGAACAAATTTTCCATAGAAACTGAGGTCGATAAAAGAACAAATTTTCAATAAAAACTGAAATTGATAAATGAAAAGATTTTCTATAGAAACTGAGATCGATAAACGAAAAAATTTTCCATAGAAACTGAGTTCGATTATCAAGCAAATTTTCTATAGAAACCGAGTTCATTAAACGGGAAAATTTTCTATTGAAACTGGGTTCGATAAACGAAGAACTTTTCTATAGAAACTTAGTTGGATAAACCAACAAGTTTTCTATAGAAACTTAGTTCGCAAAACAATGAAATTTTCCAATAGAAAATAAGTTCGCAAAACAAACAAATTTTCTATAGAAAAAAGTTCGTGAAACGAAAAAAATTTCTGCAGGAAATAAGTTCGCAAAAGTGCAGAAGTTTTCTATAGAAAACAAGTTCGTTAAACGAAAAAACTTTCTATGGAATTAATGTTCGTAAAACAAACAAATTTTCTATAGAAAATAAGTTCGCGAATGAGCAAAATTTCTATAGAATTGGAGATCGCGAAACGAAAGAATGTTCGCAAAACGAACAAATTTTTCACAGGAAATAAGTTCGCAAAATGCAGAAATTTTCTATAGAAAATAAGTTTGCAAAACGTTAAAGTTTCCATAGAAAATAAGTTCGGAAAAAGAACAAATTTTCGAAAAATTTTTTTTGATTTTTTAAAAATTTTTCTTTTAAAAAAATTTCAACTTACACCTTTTTCAGTATTCGATTTTAAAATTTAAAACTCGTTACATTATATGCAGTTGAATTTTCTTTATATTTTGTTAGGTTTCAAATTAATTTGCATTTTTTTATAAATTTAACACTTTTTTAATATGTTTTTTTTATATTAATTCGTTTACAACAAAAATTAAAATAAAAGTTCGCTAAAAAATAAACTGCAAATGATAATGTAAAACAAAAAAAAAAAAATAAATATTTTTTATATAAATTAAGAAAACAAAAACACACACTTGTTGGTTTGGTAGAAGTTAAATATTTGTTTCAATTTTATTTACAACACACAAAATCCAAACTAAATATTATATAAAGAAAATAATTCACTATAAGTTTTAAGTATAAATTTATTTTGTTTTTTTTTTATATAAATATTTCAAAGTTAGAAAGGAAAAAAACTAAGAAGACACTACCAACAGCAACGAGATCTCGTCTCGCACTGAATTTATCAAGTGATTAATTTCAGCTGGCAAGGATGCTGGTTACTACAAAAACTGACACTAAACTTCAGTGGTGATATTTAATATCAAGTATCTCTAACTCAAACATATGTAAAAGTCTATATGTTTGTATATGGATATAATAATACATAGACAAAAATGAGTTGTATGTAGTTCGCAAACTCAGGCATTTGCTGGCTGTTTTATCAGCAGCAGCATCATCATCATCATCATTATTATTTCAAAGAAAAAAAAAGGCTCAACAATACGAAAAACGTTTATTTCAATGTTGTTTTTAATTTGTTCCTACTTCGTCCTTTCGTTTTTTTACAATTGTATGCTGCAGCTTATAGTTGTTGTTGACATTGAGGAAAAACAAGAAAATTTGTTTGAGTCCTGTTGCTTCTACAGCCTGTTGCAGCTTCGTTAATAGTGAATAAATACTTTGGTAATGAGTGTTTTTTTATTCCTTTTGGGGTGGCTTTTAAGGAGGTAGTATGCGGTCTTTATAAAACAGTTTTGAGTGTAAATTATTGTGGGGGAAAGGAATAAATATTATTGCCGGTTTTCATGCCTAATTGACTCTTAAAACTGATTTTTTATTCAATGCTTTAAAAAATGTTTTAATGAAAAAAAGAGTAGAATAAAAGGGTAGAAATTCAAAAATCGAAAAAACCTTCAGTAGAAAATGAGTTCGTTAAACGAAGAAATTTTCTATAGAAAATTAGTTTGATAAATAAACAAATTTTCTTTAGAAAATGAGTTCGATAAATGAACAAATTTTCTATAGAAAGAAAGATCGATAAACGAACTAATTTTCTATTGAAAGAAAGATCGATAAATGAACAAATTTTCTATAGAAAGAAAGATCAATAATCGAACAAATTTTCTATAAAAAGAAAGATCGATAAATGAACAAATTTTCTATAGAATCAAAGATCGATAAACGAACTAATTTTCTATAGAAAGAAAGATCGATAACCGAACAAATTTTCTATAGAAAATGTGATCGATAAACGAACAAATTTTCTATAGAAAATGTGATCGATAAACGAACAAATTTTCTATAGAAAATGTGATCGATAAACGAACAAATTTTCTATAGAAAATGTGATCGATAAACGAACAAATTTTCTATAGAAAATGTGATCGATAAACGAACAAATTTTCTATAGAAAATGTGATCGATAAACGAACAAATTTTCTATAGAAAATGTGATCGATAAACGAACAAATTTTCTATAGAAAATGTGATCGATAAACGAACAAATTTTCTATAGAAAATGTGATCGATAAACGAACAAATTTTCTATAGAAAATGTGATCGATAAACGAACAAATTTTCTATAGAAAATATGATCGATAAACGAACAAATTTTCTATAGAAAATATGATCGATAAATGAACAAATTTTCAACAGAAAATGTGAACGATAAACGAACAAATTTTATATAGAAAATGTGATCGATAAACGAAAAAATGTGATCGATAAATGAACAAATTTTCTATAGAAAATGTGATCGATAAACGAACAAATTTTCTATAGAAAATGAGATCGATAAACGAAAAAATTTCCTATAGAAAATAAGTTCTATAAACGATCAATTTCTCTATAGGAAATGAGAATAGAAATTTAATTCGAATATTAAACTCAGTTTTGGTAGAAATTCTGTTCGAACATCGAACAACGTTCGAACAACGAACAAATTTTCTATAGAAAATATGATCGATAAACGAACAAATTTTCTATAGAAAATATGATCGATAAATGAACAAATTTTCTACAGAAAATGTGATCGATAAACGAACAAATTTTATATAGAAAATGTGATCGATAAACGAAAAAATTTTTTATAGAAAATGTGATCGATAAATGAACAAATTTTCTATAGAAAATGTGATCGATAAACGAACAAATTTTCTATAGAAAATGAGATCGATAAACGAAAAACTTTTCTATAGAATGATAGATCGATAAACGAACAAATTTTCTATAGAAAATAAGTTCTATAAACGATCAATTTCTCTATAGGAAATGAGAATAGAAATTTAATTCGAATATTAAACTCAGTTTTGGTAGAAATTCTGTTCGAACATCGAACTCAATTCCCATAGAAATTTAGATCGAATATCGAACTCAGTTTCTATAGAAATTTTATTTGAAAATCGATCTCAGTTTTTGTACAAAATAAGTTTGAAAATCAAACTCTATTTTTGCAGAAATTTTGTTCGAATTTCGCACTCAGTCGTGGTAGATTTTCTGTTCGAACATCGAACTCAGTTTTTATAGAATTTAGTATGAATATCGATTTCAGTTGTTGTAGAAAATAAGTTTGAAAATTTAACTCTATTTTTGCAAAAATTTTGTTCTAATATCGAACTCAGTTTTGGTAGATTTTCTGTTCGAACATCGAGCTCACTATCCATAGAAATTTAGATCGAATATCGAACTCGGTTTCTGTAGAAATTTTATTTGAATATCGTTCACTGTTTCTATAGAATGTAAGTTTGAAAATTAAATTCTATTTTTGCAGAAATTTTGTTCGAATATCAAACTCAGTTTTGGTGGAAATTCAGTTCGAACATCGAACTCAATATCTATAAAAATTTAGATCGAATATCGAACTCGGTATCTATAGAAATTTTGTTTGAATATCATTCACAGTTTCTATAGAAAGTAAGTTCGAAAATTAAATTCTATTTTTGCAGAAATTTTGTTCGAACATCGAACTCTCTTTCTGGAGAAATTTTGTTTAAACATCGAACTGTATTTCTATAGAGAGTTTGCTCGAATATAGAACTCAAATTATATAGTTTTTTGTTGAAATTTAGTTCGAATATCGAACTCAGTTTCTATACAAATTAAGTTCGAATATCGATCTTAGTTTTTATAAAAATTTAGTTCGAACATCAAACTCTGTTTCTGTTGAAATAAAGTTTGAATATTCAACTCTCTTCCTATAAAATTAAGCTTGAATATCGAAATTAAGCAATTCTTTAAAAATTTTGTTCGAACATCGAGCAATTTAGTTCCAAAATCCAACTTTCGCTTACTTCCCTTAAACTTTGTTTTAAAAACTTTTCACTCATTCCTTTTATTGCGAATATTTTGCAGCAAAAATCTCTTACTTTTATTATATAAATGAGTGAGTGATTCTTTTGTTCTTTATTAAACTCCAAACACTTGTTGATGTTGTGCCAACATAATTATTCTATATAGAATAGTTTATTGTATAAAGATTTTAAACGTTAAAAAGGGCAATGTATTCTTTGGCACACAGAAAAAATAACATAATTTCCAAAAACAAGTTTTGATTACGATTTTTTGTATTAAAACTTAAAAAAAAACAACTTGTATAATCAAACATAAATGTTAAAAATAACGAAACTCAAAGCTTTTATTAAACAAAAACGAAAATTTGCACAAAATATTTGAAATCGAAACAATTTATTTAAAATATTTAATTATGTTAAATAACTTTCATTTGTTATGATATCTATTAAATAATATTTATTATAAAATATGGACCTATTTGAATTTGCATCTTCTTGATATTTTTTTTTTTTTTTGCAAATTTACTTACAGTGGGGGAAGAAATTTTGCACACCTTTGTGTGGTTTAAAATTATAATATTAATAAAGTTTTTTGCTTTTTCATAATTTTTATTTCACACGTGTTTTTGTTAACAATTAAGCCAATATTTGTTACACCATTTTTTTTTAAATTTTTCAATGTTATAATTTTTTTTAGGGAATTATTTTTTATTAAAAAGTATATTTTATGCTTTAAAACCCGTTTAGGAATTATTTTATTTCTTTCTTAAGAATTTTTTTTACACTTTTTTATTTAACAACCGTGTTGTGCTTTAATGGACCAACTTTAAACGATTAAACAAAATAATCTGCCCAAAAATTGTTTCTCATATATGAAACAAAAAAAGGTTTTTGTTCGATGGGTCGTGTGTTGTGCTGAATTCTGTCTTTAAAGTTGTGCGTAGCTGCTCTTTCTTTAACTTTAATCGTAAGATCTACGTCACATATTGGATTCATATGTAGAGCGTGTTGCTGTTTGTGTAATATTTCTCTGAAACCTTTGATCTGTTAATTAAATACATATTCATATTTTAGCACTTTTTAGTTTTAACTAAAATGTAGCCATTTATTTAAAATAGTTCCACCTATAATATGCAATAATTTTAAAATCAAACTGGTATTTACAAATATTTTTATACTAATTTATTTAAGTTCTTTAAGCCTCTTAATACATTCTTGAGTTGTTATAAATATTTAAAACTTTTCGATAATTTGCATAATTAAAAAAATATATAGACTTCCACCAGCAGAGATTCTCAATTATATCCGAAACGTTTATTGAACTAATTTTCTATACAAAACTTGTTCGAAATCGTACTCGTTTTCTAAAGAACATCGGACTAAGAAACTAAGGTCGAATATCGATCTTATTTTCTATAAATACTAAGTTCGAACATCGAACTAATTTTATATAAAAACTTAATTCGAACATCGGACTCATTTTATTTCTATATAAAATGAGTCCGATGTTCGAAAAGATCAAACAGTGAAAACCAATTCTATGAAAACTAACTTCGAACATCGAACTCATTTTATACTGAAACTTGGTTTGAATATCGAACTTATTTCCTATAGTCTAGTCTACAGTCTAGTCTATAGTTAGTCCATAGTCTAGTCTATAGTCTAGTCTATAGTCTAGTCTATAGTCTAGTCTATAGTCTAGTCTATAGTCTAGTCTATAGTCTAGTCTATAATCTAGACTATAGTCTAGTCTATAGTCTAGTCTAGTCTAGTCTAGTCTAGTCTATTAGTCTATAGTCTAGTCTAGTCTATAGTCTAGTCTATAGTCTAGTCTATAGTCTAGTCTATAGTCTAGTCTATAGTCTAGTCTATAGTCTAGTCTATAGTCTAGTCTATAGTCTAGTCTATAGTCTAGTCTATAGTCTAGTCTATAGTCTAGTCTATAGT